TCATGGTACCCATGAGTAGTTCTTTCCATGATGGTCTAAATTAGCAGGAAGCATCTGAAAAACAATGCTCCCAGGCTGCTTCATACACCCTGGAAATGTCTGCTGTATTTAGAGAGACCACTTTTCTTGTTTTTTATCCCAGGATTATGATTAGACTTTCGGCTTGGTTCTGATGACAAAGGAGAATGCTGATGTAGCTATGGCCTCCTGGTTGGTGCCCAGCTGATTTAGGTGACCCTTCTCCAAAGGAGTTTCCAGATGTTTCTCAAGCTGGTGGACTGAAATAAGTTGTGGGGCTGCATATTACTTTACCTTTTTGAAAACGGGGCAGTACATTGTGAACCATAAATGGAGCACTTCCTATTCAAAGAGCAGAAAATAGCGCTCTGTTGTCTGAAGGAACACATAACACAGGGTTTTGTTGTGTTCCATGTGGGGATACAAAATTCCCAAGTGCTTACTGATCTTCGGATCCTGAGAACTGAAAACCAAATTGGAGTCTGTGTTCCATGCATGCATATGTTATTTCAAAACTTGTGGTTGAGATTCACTAGCATTTAGCATGAGATAGCCTCAGGTTGATGGACTTTAATTTCTTGTGTTACATGTGGCTGGACTTTAGTCTCCATGCAGTAGCCTCGTTCTGCAGAGAAGCTTCCTTTCACCTAACTAGTAGGTAGCTGGACTGGAATTCAACCATTTTCAGGTATGGTGTGCTTTTAAAGAAAGAAAGAAATTAAAATTGTTATGTATTGTCGAGCTGTTTTCATAGAGTTTTTAAGTTTGTCTGTTTAAAATGTTTGAGAACTATATGTTAAGGAGGAGTGTAGTATGTGGGGGGTGGGAAATGGGACACAATTGTAGAACAGGGAGAGGAATGAGTATTTCTAGGAAGTAAAGTGATGACTCCTTCAAATTTTCTCCAGAGAATTTCCTTGTTTCTCTTATCTCTTTTTCTTCCTGTTTCTTATCTATTTCATTTTTCCACAACCATGCAAAAAGGCTGTGACAAGTTAGGAAATTCTAATTCTCTTGTGGCAACTGCAAGAATTTGCCTGAGTGCAGCTCACTGTACTCTTTATTCTGATTTTTATTTTATTTTATTTATTCTTTGCTTTTTGTTTGTTTGTTTTAAAATTATTTTTCCTTTATAAGGAGAAGAAATTTGGAGTACCCATTCCTGGCTGTGGGCTGAGCACCAGCAGATGAGAGCTATTGGGATGCAGGAGAATCTCCTGGAAGATGTTCGGGGTAGATGAATTTTACAACCTGCTGACCAAAACTTGTGCTTTGAAGGCTGCCAAGCAGCACAGCAGTTCCCCGAGACCAGAGCTCGGTGTGGTTCTGTTCAGCATACTGCTTCTGCACAGCAATTGCTCCCTGTTTCTCACAGGAGCCATTTCGGGGTAGCACAGCTGCTCTGAGCTGTTTGCATGGTGTTAATCTCTGTCAGGGCCACAGCTGAGGAGAACAAATGGTACGGTTTCTGCACAGTTTCTGAGCAGTTTTCATGTAGTCTCAGAGCCTTCTAAGAAAGGGAAAAAAAAAGTAATCTAATGAGTATTGCACACGGTTAGTTCTGCAGAGCTACTGGTAGAATATGTGTGGCAGAACTGTTATTTTTTATGTGGAGATACTGGGTAATTAGGCCCTTCTTGCACCAGGTGGCAGTATCCACTGCTCAGAGGTGCTTCAGTGACCTGGAAGGCCCTTTCACCTTGACCAAGAGACTCTGCTTGAAAACAAACCAATTAAACCATAAAGACTGAGGACAATTCGGACAAGAATTCAGCAGATTCTAAACTAAACACTTTATATTCCTTGCAGTGGCTGTATGGGTTAGCTGTAGTGTACTGTTCCTAAAAGCAAAAAAATAAAAACCAACAAGTACCAGAAAGTACCAGGCTTTGAGGATCACAGAACTTGTTTTCAGTGCATTTATTCCTGTATGGTTTGTTTGCTTTACTAACTCAGCTGGAGTGTTCTGCCTGGTTTTGAGTCTTCTTTATTGAACGGGAAGATTGGAAACTGAAGCAACAAAACATCAGCAAAAAATGAGGCCTCTGAAAGAAATTGGTTTAATCTGTTTATAAAATATGCAGAGGAAGGGGAGGAGTAATGTCAGAAAATCCTACAAAGCACACTGTGCAACTTCCTTATCTTCTTACAAATAGGACATGGAGAAGTTTGTACTAAAAAGAGGTGAGATGGGGTGTTCCTGATTGTGCCACATCTCAGCTATGAGGATAGCAAAGCAGTGGAGCATACTACATGCAAAAATAAAACAAAAACAACTTAACAAATTCACATATTATCTTTGTTCTTGTATAATTATTCCTATGGAGTACCATAAACTATAGCCTTTTGCAGTATGCAGGAGCCTTAGCAAATCTTTCTTCATAACTTTTCTTTCAGAAACCAAGGCTGTAATGACCCATGCTTTGGGAGGAATCATGAGTTTGTAACTCCCAAGAGAAACATTCAGCTCTTCAGATTGGTTGTAATTTGCTTGTCAAAGTTTCTGTTACCCAAGGTTGTCCAGAAAATGACAAGTTGAAAATCACTTAGACTACAGAAAAAATACATCTGTAGCAGAGCAACTTCAACTGTAGTTTCTTGAATCATTTATATTAATGAACACTTAATTGGTTTAGGCTTACGATGCTGTTTTAACTCAGTAGAATGAAGTTGCCATGTAGGACGAGGAAAAGCTTCAGAATTATAAAGCTTGAATAATATCTCAGGTGCTCTGAGTGCTTATCTTACTTGTTTATCTTTGCTATATTAATCAGAACCATTAAAAAAAAAAACCAACACAATAACAAAACAGTCTGGAAGCCTTTGTACCTACTTGTGACATCAAGAGCCAGCACCTCAAAAAAGCAAGGGGAAGAAGAGTGAAGACTGCATGACTGTGGCACTGAGTGTACTGCCATGATTTAAATGGTGAACTAATGTTTAGTCATACACAACCATAATTACTGTGTCCTGTTTTTCCTAAATAGGCAATTATGTCAGAGCCTGCACCTATTTCCTGCTGGTAAATGGATTTTAAAATCACAATAGAAGTCAGTAACAATAGCATCAGAATATGTTGCCTTTGAAGATCTATCTTTTTCAGTTGTTGGGCTTTGAATTGTGTAGAAACACTCAGGGTTTATTATATAGTAAAGCAGAAAAAGTGTCTTACTCGACTTTTATTGCACTATAATTTTTAACTCTCTACTGTGTGTCTTTCTGTGTTCACATGGATTTCTTTTCCACAATAAAATGGTATGGATTTCTTTTGTGTGTGTGTGTGTATGTCAGTTTTTCTCTCATATTCGAATGAAAACTTCCTTTGCTTTTCTTATTTTGCTACATTTTATGACAGAGCAAACCAGCTTACTTCTCTGCACGGAACTACTTGCTTGAAACTGTAAGGTTGCTCATTTTCTTCTGAAATAGCAGCTGAAATTCAGACATTCTTTCTTTTTCAAACATTTTTATTTTCCTGTTTGCAAGAGGACCACCTTGGTAAGATTGTGCAGACCCTTATACTTTTCACAAGAGGAGAATTTCAGCAGGAAAAAAAAGAAAAGGCAAGAAAAAACAACCTTGTATTCTTGACAGTGAGAGCTGTAGGTAACTCAGAGATACAGAAGTCTATATGCATATAGGCTTTATGTATGCATTTGTAAAAATATGTAGAAAAGCATCTTTTAAATGTTTAGTTTACAGCAGCAGATGTTTCTTACAGTATCAGCTGGCTTCTCTGGACTTAGATGGTTGCAGGCACTGAAGTGGGACATGACCAGCATTTCAGGAGCAGCCAGGCAGAAGAAAGGTTTGTACTTAGTGTGCAGCTGTGGGTGCAGGGGAATAAGGTCTTGTTTCTCTGTGTGAATTGGTACTCTCTTATTCTGGTAAGTTGCTGGAGGAACTCTTGAAGTGATGTGTGTGGGCTGACTTGCTCTCTGCACAGAGCTCCACAAAAAATGCACGTGAGTACTTACTTCTGCTAATCTTTGTATCTATATTTCTGCAGTGAGGTTTGGAGAATGCTTATATGTGTCCAAAAGGTAGCAGCACAGTCTTGATGAAAGCAAAGAGAATTTAGATTGGTGGGGACCTCTGGACCTTCTACTCAAATGCATCCTTAAACTGGGTGCTCAAGGCCTTGGCCAAGTGAGTTCTCAGTCTCTCCAAAGATAGAGATTTCTCTGCTTTTCTGGACTCTTCTTCCCATGTTTTACCATCCTCTCAGCGAAAAAGTTTTATGTTGAAGTTTTCTACATTAAAAAATTGTTGTCTCTTCCTAAATTTCAATTACCAGTGTAAACTGCATCATTTTTGCCGTTGTTGATGGCCCTCAGCATTCATTTTTAAAACTGAATGTGAAGTTGATTTTCTTGTGAACGTGAAGGGTATCACAGATATCACAGAATGTATGTTGAGATGGTGTTGAAAGGTGCTCTAGAAGTTCTTGCAGCCTGCTTTACTGTGAGTCTTCAGTGTGAATTGTGACGGTTTGCTATTGCAGCCCTGGATTTCTTCTTGGGAAAAATCTGCCAGCAGTTGAAGGCAAAATTCAGCGATACTCAACTACAGTCAAGGAGGAAGTTAAGGAGAATTATAGAACTTGCAAACTAAAAATAATCTGTCAAGTAAAACTTAAAAATGTAAATTCCTGAAAGCAGTATCTTCTTTTCCATACCCACAATTTTACTACTCTGTTGCTCTCTTGCTCTTTATTTTGCCCCCTTCTCAAAACTGTATTCTTCAGTATACGAGTCCCTGCTGCAGGGTTTTTTATTCCAAATAGCAGACCCTTCCATTGTGTGCCTAGTAGACATTAATTTGGGGATAATTTGAGCTAATCTTGTTTTCTGAATAATATCTAGCTGTTCATGAAGAAAAATCTTTTTGATAACAAATCAAACTGGCATATTTCCTAGCTTATAAATATAATACTTGGTTTAAAGTGGCTGACAGAGGCTGTCTTCTCTTTCTTTTGTCAGATGTGTGCAATAGTACCAATCTTCCTGAAGTTGAAATCATCAGTCTACTGGAAGAACAGCTGCCTCATTATAAGCTAAGAGCAGATACAATCTATGGTTATGACCACGACGACTGGCTTCATACTCCTCTCATTTCTCCTGATGCAAATATCGACTTAACAACTGAGCAAATAGAAGAGACCTTGAAGTACTTCCGTAAGTCAAAAATTTACAAATTCTACTGAGGAATAAATAAAACTGTACTGTTTTTGTTACTGCCTCTGAAATACCTGTAATTCTCGTACAGTTGTGAAAAGCAAGAGAACTGTTGGTTTTCAAGTTTTATGGTGGTTAGTAAAGAAAGGAAATAATCAAAAACAGCAGTTGCATTTGTTAATCTGCCCATGTACTTTGTCACAATATCAAATGTTGGTGAAACTTTAAGACTTCTTTTTGCCTGTTATCTCTCTGGCAAGAGGATGAAATTTCTATGTTTATAAAATGTAAAAAGCTTAGGCATATTGCCTTATTTGCTTTTTTTGAGAATATTCTGTGACTCACTGTAATGCTGTCTGTGCTACTGTGTGCCTGCATCACAAGGTGATGTCAAATCATTTTTCTACTGCTTGAGTTTCTAAGAAAGACTTGTGAATAACCAAACACTGAGCATTTAGTGAGGATGGTTTGTCTCCTTGTTCTGTCTTTTGTTCATATTTATAGTATTGTACAGAAAGGTACTGTTTGTGCCGGGAGAGAAGGCTTGTAGTCTTGTGACCTTATGCATTTTTCATTCTTTATTTGAGCTGGTAGATCCTTTTATTGTGGTGAATGGATTCATGTCTCTATGTTCTTCTACTGTGGATGTTGACTTAGCTGTACAAGACCAGACAACTGTGATTCATCCTCTAGTTGCTTATCAATCATGTAGTTTACGATTAAATGATTCTTCTCCCCTCCTCCTGTTTTCATGTGAAAATGTAGTTTTGTTACACTTCTGAATCGTGACATGTTCAAATAGTTGCAGAGCATCAAGCCAGGTGACATTCTAAAGCTGTAGTAGTTAGACTTGCGTAGTAGCGGATTTACATAAATTGTAGCAGTAGGTAGTTTTAGGTAGTTACTGAGGAGCTGTGGGGCTGAAAAGATTTGAGTTACAGGGCTCAACACAAGCCTTTGGACGTACGGCTTCATTGTATTGTCATGCACCTGGAGAATCAAGTTTTTACACAGGTAGATAGTGATTGGGCAAGTAGGAACGGTTTTAAACTAAAGGAGCGATTTAGATTAGGTGTTAGGAGGAAGTTTCTTTTTACCAAGAGAGTGGTAAGGTGCTGGAACATGCTGTGGATAGTCTTCCCTGGAGGTGTATAAGGCCATTTTGGATGAGGTCCTGGGCAATCTGATCTAGTACTTGATCTAGCAGTTGGCCTCCCTGTGGAAGGGATGTTAGAACTTGATGATCCTTGACGTCCCTTCCAACCCAAGTCATTCTATGAATCTATGTATGTTCTCCACCTTCTCCCCAGTCAGACAGAAGCAGTGCAGGATGACAGATGGGGTAGAAAGTTGATCAATGGAATCAGTTATTTCTTGTTTCGTAGCAGATATTTAATGCAGCTGAAATGGTGGCAGTAGCTGGCTTAAATAAACCTTCTGAAAAATCAGTTTTCTAATATTTGTAGTAACAAGATTAATTATGTCTCATCCTTAAGATGGTTTTAAAAGGGGCTGTTGCATTAAGCACAGGAAAGATGATTTACTAGCGGGGAAAGCAGGGCAAAATTCAGTGTGGGAGTATCCCAAGTCTCCTACCTAAGATACTTGTGTGATATGCCATCAGTAATGATGCATGACTGTTGAGAATGGGTACTTAATGAAGCTACTTGCTCAGAGAAATCAGATAGCAGTAGCTGCTTGTAACTGTGCATGCTCAAACAATTTTATCCAGCATTTAGCATGCAAGCATAATGGGCTGCAAGCTTTGCTATGTGCTGCAATTTGAAAACTTCACCCAAATAGGTTGAATAGAGAAAAAAAAAAAAAAAAGTGGTACGTTTTCTGCTTTCATTGGTAATTAACTGCTTAAAGAGAAGGGACTAAGCAAGGAGAACTTCTGTAAAGAAAGTTTGTTGCTTAACACTAATGTACGAGCATGTGCCCAACAGGTAGTGGCTTAAGAAGTTGGAAATGAGCAAAGTTGAATTAATCCCTAGACTGATATCCTGGGAGCTGAGATCACCGTGTTTACCCTTGCTGTGAACAACTCATACAAAGCTGTAGAGTAAGGTCATAAAACTTTGGCATGTTTGGAAGTTATGGCACTGTGCATAAACATTGCTTTATGAAAAATGAACCATGAAAATAAAGATATTAAGTAAGTTGTCACAAAAGTGAATTGTACCATTATCACTCTGCAGAGTATTTTCTAGGGTGTGACTTCTAGCACTGTGATTCATTTTCAGAGCTGCAGTCAGGGCACTCCTTTTGTACATGTTTACTTTGTTTTAAAAACCTTGATGGGGGAGGAGGGGGAAGGTGAATATATACTGTAACTTGTCTATGAGAAAATTTTAGGACAACATTACAGATTTCCATTTTATTTAGAGCATTATTCTCATGGTCTGAGTTCTATGAATGTAGTATATATAAGAAATAACAGAAGTGAAATTTATAATCTGTCAGACTTTCTTAAGTGAAGGAGGAATTAATTAATTTTACTGCACCAGAAAAGGATTTCCTACAAAATAAACACAATTATCAGAATTAAAATGTCCTACATGTACAGCTTGTTATGTCTTCCTCGGGCTTTTTAGAAACACTTTAAGATGAGCAAAATATAACTGATGTTGAAGTCTGAGCTTGTGCAGAATATTTTTAGGTATGAAATGAAATCTTTCCATTACTTGTGGTTCCTAGCATTGCAGTATTGATCAGCTTTGAAACCACCAGTATTATGAATAGTTGAGAAGTCAGAAGGGAGGGATGTGTTGTGGCTTTATGCAGGAAACGTTTGCAGACTGAGAAATATTGGACAGAGCCAGGAATGTTTGATCATGTTTTAATATATGTAAACATTGTGCATAGTTAACATATGCAAATATGTATTTTGTAAGGCTTCCTGTTCTTTATGTAGAGAGTTTATCAGGAAGAGCAGCACTTTATTACCCAAACTCTCACCACACCACTTAATTAATGTGTACTTAGTCTGGAAATAATCTGAATAGTAATTCCACTGTGATGCTCTTGCAGTGTAACTCAATTGTTTTAATAATGTTCAGATACCTATGGTGAACTAAAAAGGGAACACTTCTGGATTTCCACTAGCTATAAATAATAGCAAAGTGTTTCTTGTTTGACCGTGGTGTCATTTACTTATTTTGTTTGTTTTGGCAGTAACTGAGAGCAGCGTTTTTGCCTTATTCCAGCTGCAGGCTTTGAACACATCTGTGGCCAGTTACCATACTCAGTGACTCTAGCTCTGTCTTGATTCAGTTTGTGCATTTTGAACAAGATGGATGTCTGAGCCTTTAAATCTCAATACTGGATTACTTGAAAATATTTTGAGGCCCATAGAAGTAGGAAAGTGGGATGAATATCTATATATATTATGTGAGCGTGTATATATTATGATACACAGGTGTGTGTGTATATACATATACATATAAAATGCATGTATTGATGTACAGTTGGATTTGTAGTTATCCTTCTGAAAGAACTTTGATATGTAATGACAGAATTTTAAATCTCTACTCAAAATGAAAGTAGTTCCTTCAATGCTTTTTAGGTTAAATCTTATAAAGTGCCCTTAAGTTCTCCATGGACTATCTACCTCTGAGAACTGTACTTCCAAAATAAATATATAAATAAATAAAATAAAAAAATTACTTGCTGCTTAAAATCTCATTTGTATATGAATTATAGTACTGCTTTTATTAGGTACATGCATGTAGATTTTTGACATATCTGTAGTATGTTCTGTAATTCATTCTTACTATCTAGCCAGTATTCCCCTTTCCTATCAAACAGTCTTGGTACTAGGAAACTTACAACACTGACATACTCATTTGACCCCGATTTTTTCATTTCTGAATAATATATTTAATAAGAGAGATTGTGTGGTTGTTTGGATAGATTCAGATGTCTCCAAAGACCATTATCAGTGAAGGAACTTAAATCACTTGTAGTGACAGTATTCTCTAGTTCGAGTTCATCTATGTTTGCATTTGCTCCCAGGAGAGGATGTATGAGAAATGCTACTTCCAAGAGTGATTCAGCTCATAGTGTAACTAGCAGCTGCCTTGCTGTCCTTTGAAGTAGAAGCATTGAAGTGAAGTGGTGGAGCTTTTCTGAAGAGTTGTTGGGTGTTTGGAGTAATGTACTATCAAGCTTTCAAAGTATACAGATACGTTTTCATTCAGTTAAAAAGCAGATTAGTAGCAATTAATGCTCACCCACACCAGTCCTGCTGTCACTGGACTGTGTTTCAGGGGATAGAGGGAGAGGAGATAGCGTTACATTTGTGCTGTTTCCATTTTACGATAGGAAACATATCACAAAGAAACACTTGTATTTAGGAAAATAGTCTGTCATTTTGAGTGAAGGGAGAAATTGTCGTTTCCAGATCGTAAACTGAAAAAAGTGCCAGTGCTTTAAACAGGGCCAGTGTCTTAATGGATGTCTCCATTTGGTCCTTGATCTCCATTGGTCATTTCTTTAGTTCTTCTTGGGCTTGTTTATCCATCTTTAATAGAGCATGACGGCATAGTGTACTGACCTTTGAAGGGCTCCTAGTGTACCACCTGCTCTTTCTTGATATTCAAAGAATGCCATGTATTCTTAGCTTCTGTAATTTCTCCTTAAAAATCAGAAGGTACTAGAAGCTCAAAGTTGAAGGGAGGAGGAAGATCTTCAGTGGAAACACAGATTAAGGAGGTCACTATGGTATGGAAAGGTTTTCAGTAATATGAAAGAAAAATATCTTCTGCAGCTTGTGTATAATAAGAAACTTGGGATTAAACTACTTTGACTCATTTCCAGACTAGCAGGACTTGTCATGTAGAGGTCTGTAAGGCATAAGAACTTCTGCTACGCTTATACAATGGTTGCTTGAGTGCTTTATGCCAGTGATACGTGCTTTAATACAGATGTTTTCATTCTCCAGTCCCCTGAACTTGTTCGACCTAGTTCTCTAATGACATATGGTTAGAGCTGAGTCA